GGAGGGGAGCGGCGACGGGGCCGCTAGGGGCGGCGACGGGGCCGCGTAGGGGCCGTGACGGGGCCGCGTAGGGAGGGAGGCGGCGACGGGGCCGCTAGGGGCGGCGACGGGGCCGCGTAGGGGCGGCGACGGGGCCGCGTAGGGAGGGAGGCGGCGACGGGGCCGCTAGGGGCGGCGACGGGGCCGCGTAGGGGCGGCGACGGGGCCGCTAGGGGCGGCGACGGGGGCGCGTAGGGGCGGCGACGGGGCCGCGTAGGGAGAGAGGCGGCGACGGGGCCACTAGGGGCGGCGACGGGGCCGCTAGGGGCGGCAACGGGGCCGCGTAGGGGCGGCGACGGGGCCGCTAGGGGCCGCGAGGGGCCTGGAAGGGCGGTGATGGGGCCGCTAGGGGCGGCGACGGGGCCGCTAAGGGTGGTGCGAGGGGTCGTGAGAGGGGCCTCTAAGAGAGCTCAACAGAAGGGCGGCCCACAAGGCGCGCCTCGGGCAGGAGAGACTGGCACTCCGGTCAGAAAAAATATATTCAGTGGTGGGCCCAAGGAAGCGTTCCCACTAGGGAACCTGCTCTATACCATGTGAAGAAATGAGGAATGAATGAACTAGGAAAGAGGTGGGTACAAGTAGGAAATCCTAGAAATGTTGTACCCCATATAGTGTACCCCACTACACCCTACACAGACTATAGCATATAAGTTTGACACAAACCAACCACCAACCAGCCCCACCACTCCCCAACCAGCCCCACCTCATCACCTCCACCTCACACTCCGAACCCACCCTTGCAGCTCCATGGAATCAGCACCATCACTTGGGATGATACCTTCATCACGAAATTTCAGCGCGCCAACAAACTTGACCTGTTTTTTGTCAAGCAAGCACCCGAGGACCCGGCCTACTCATTTGAAGACCCATTTTGGTACAACACCGTCACCAAGACCATTTGTGTCCCTGCAGATCGCTCCTTACGACAGCTGCTACTCTCCGAATACCACGACACCATTACCGGCAGCCACTTTGGTGTTGAGAAGACCTACGCACGCCTCTCCAATGACTACCATTGGCCACGCATGCATGTTGATGTGCGTGACTTCATACGCACCTGCCGCACCTGCCAACAACTCAAAGCACACACCACCAACCGCTACGGACTCCTTCAGCCCATCCCTCCACCTACCAAAGTGTGGGATGAAGTCACCATGGACTTCATCATGGATCTGCCCTGCACACCCCGCAGCTACAACGCTATCCTAGTCGTCGTCGACCGACTCTCCAAAATGAGCCACTTCATTCCTACCCACACAACCGTCACCGCACCCGAAACAGCCCGACTCTTCTTCGATCACATAGTCCGCCTACATGGTCTCCCATCCGCCATCATTTCAGATCGTGACCCCCGCTTCTTGAGTAACTTTTGGCAGAGCCTCTTCAAGCTTCACGGAACCCGGCTGAAGTTTTCTACCGCGTATCACCCTGAAACGGACGGACAAACCGAACGGATGAACCGCACGCTTGAAGACTCCCTCCGTGCACAAGTTACTCCTCGCCAAACTGATTGGGATCTCCACCTCACCGCCATCGAACTCGCATACAACAGCACACCCCACCTTTCCACCGGCCAGCCACCCTTCTACCTCCCAACCGGACAGCACCCCCGCCTCCCCACGACCCCACCCCCCCACCTCTCCCATGCACCAGTAGCCTTTGAGTTCCTCACCTCACTCGAATCAGCCATTGATGCCGCTCGCACCTCCATCCTTAAAGCTCAAGCCAAACAGACCCACTATGCCAACTCCCACCGCAAATATATACGCTTCAAGGTTGGCGATCAAGTGTTACTCTCCACTGACCACCTACCTCTCCTACGCAAAGGCACAACCAGAAAACTCGCCCCTTGCTTTATTGGCCCGTTCACCATCACCCGAGTCCTCTCACCAGTCACCTACCGTCTCCAACTACCCAGCTATATGAAGATTCACCCCGTCTTCCATGTCCAGCGCCTCCGCCCTTTCCGTGCACCTTCACACAACCGTCCAGCCACACGCCGACTGCCACCGATGTTCGAAGGCAGCCCCGGCCTGTTTGAGGTTGCATCTATCGCTGCACATTGCGACACACCTCATGGTCGCGAGTTTCTTGTTCATTGGAAGGACCAGCCTACTAGTGACGACTCATGGGAACCAGAGAGCCACCTTGACCGTGCCGCAACTGCTGTGAATCGGTATTTGACCAGCCACGGTTTGGCGCCGTGGACGGCGCCACTTGGAGGGGGAAGTAATGTAACAGTGTGGCAGCCGAATGCTGCCAAGTACAGTGCAGGTGGGCAGAAGTCAAGCGCCACCTCACCAACTGTTCGTATTGGTCAAACGCCTCAACCTGCAGCTGGGCGACCAGGTCCTGACGCGCAGCCCTGTCAAAGTTAGAAGGAAGAAAGAGGATTGAACTAGCAAGAATGAGGATACAAATAGCAAACCCTAGAAGGGTTGTACTCGCTATAGAGCACCCCACTACAGGCTAGAACAATAAGATAATATTCTGACAAGCCCAACACAAACCCTCGCGCGAAAATTACGAAACGCAGAACACCGAAGTTCCGACCGCTCGCCGACTTCGCCAACAACACCGACGAAATTACAGCCCCGTAACCAAGCTCGCCGTCCAATCCCGTACCGCAATAATTCTCTGAATTTCACGGCAGGTTCATTTCAAAGGGGTTGGGTTACCATTGAGAAATCCAGAGAGAGTCGCGACTTGGGAGTGCGACTCGATATTTGAATGTGCTTTATAAAATTGTACTGTGAAATTTGTGAAGTCATAGTGCAATTTCCAGAGAACTCCAGAGAGCACTCTATCCTCGTTTTCCTAGCCTTCTAAGGCTGCTACTTCCCTGCCAGCAACGTTTCAACTATGGCAGCTTTCCCACCAAGCAGAACGCGCATCCACACTCCTCGCTCTACACTACACACAAGCTAAGTAAATCGTCATACCGAGATCGTTCCAGGCAATTATTATATTCTTCAACAGCGTAAGGTATTTGGAGCTGGCCGTGAATGTCGCTGCACTGCCACGTCATGTAAGCAGTTGAGTCCGTGGGGGTTCTAAACGAGAGTCGAGCCGACGACGCCTGTGAACCATATCTTACGCGTTTTGAGATGAGGCTCGCAGAAGGATTGCCGATGATATCCAGACGACATTGCGGGATTTTGGCCACCAAGATTTTGCGGGATTCGCGATAATCTCCAGGTGACATTATTGCAGATAGCCTTCAATCCGTGCGGCAAATCCTTCTTATTTATCGGCTCACCGCCTAACAAGGCCAAGCAGTACCGGAGGCTGTGCAAATCTCTCGTCATTTATGTGCGTTAAGACGTCTTAAGCCGAGCAACGTACGTAATACTACCGCTCCCTCCACCGACGCTCGATTCCCGCCAAGCGCCTTTAGGCGACAATAAGCGACAATCTGTGACGACAATGTCTAGGCGACGATATAAAGGCGTCTCAAGCCATCTTGCTTGAAGTAACGCACGTTGTAGTGCCGCTCGCTCCCTCCACTTCACGCGCGATTCCCGCCAACCCCCTGTAGGCGACATTACGCGTCGTCACGTAGGCGACAACCTGCAGGCGACAACCCTAGGCGACGAGTTTTAGGCGACTATCTCTGTGCGATTAATTATTTTCGACAACCCTAGGCGACAATAATCGTTTCGCGAGCCACCACAGGTCGCGGAGCCAGTCGCTCCTCCCAACCGCTTTTTCACCTTAAAAGTCCGCGCTTCAGCTAGCGTCAACATTTATTATCCTTCCTCAATCCGCGCTGCATTTCGTCTCGATATCGTTTCCCCTGGTCGTAACCCGAGTCGCTCCGTGCGACGCTTCGCGAATGGCGGCGGCGACCTCCAGCGTTCGCGATCAGCATGGTTGTTCACCTCGCCGGTTTCCGCCACGAGGTTACCACCAGCAGGCGACGCCGCCGTCATCGCCACGGCAGCGGCTGCCGCAGCTACTTCTGCTGTTCCTTGGCTTCATCGCGTTTTGCCACAATGCGGCGCTTTCCGTGGCCGCCATTCTTGTGAACTCGGGGCAAGGTCTGGCTTGTATCGCGTACACTTGTATTGATATCGTATGTGTCTGAACTGCGTGTGCCTGTATCGCATGCGACTGTATCGCGTGTTCTTGTAGTAACACATGTGCTTGTATTGTAGTAACATGTGCTTGTAGTACTCACGCTTGTGCCAGTATCGGTTTTCTCAAATCCCGTTTGTAAGTCACCATTGGACCATTACTGTCATTTTGTGTGTGAGCAGGTGAAGTATTGGCACAGTGTGCGGTGGAGATGGGTGTAAAAGGTTACAATTGGAGCAACACCACTGCATGCGGGATGGAGGTGGGGTTGCTGTGTAACCGAGACGGCTTAGTCAACACCATGTGAGTTTTCCACACTGAGCGATCGGGTTGTACTCGTTATAAGCATTGTGCCATGTTGTATACAGTGCACGATGGGGGTGGAGCTCAGCTGGGCATAACCTGAACAGAACGTTCATTTCTTGCGTAATGTACAGTGGGGGAAGTAAGCTGTACCCGCTATAAGCAGTAGGCCTTGATGCTCTTAGCACTCACATCTTCCCACCTTCCTTCCTCCCCCACCACCCCACTCTCTCCCTCTCCCCCCTTCTTAATTTTCGTATTTACCAGGCCTTTGATAACCCATGCCTCTTTCCTGCAATGCTTTTCTTTCCCTTGCTGCTGTCCCGTCCACCCCTCTTCTGCACCGCTCCAATCTCTATTGAAACGTTTCCGAATCACTTTTGAACTATTTCAACCGCTCTCTTTCCCCCACAGCTCCTGCCATCCACCCACTTCCCTCCTGCAGTGAACTTCACAACTCCGATATCATGATAGAGCCTATTAGGTGCTCCCGCCCCCCACACTGCCCCCCTGCAGTGATCTTCACAACCACAATCTCACTGGAAGCATCTGCTCCGATATAGGCAAGCTCACAACACTCACTACGATGTGAGTGCAGTGTGATTTGTGAAGCACATTCGCTGCTGCTGTGCCTCTGCAACCTCTTTCCTTCTCTCCTTCCCCTCATCCTCTGCTTGCCTTCCCTTCTCCCCTTCCCCTCGTCCTCTGTTTCCCTTCCCCCCTATCTCCTTCCTCTCCCCCCATTTTCCCCCCACCCTCTCCTCTTTCCCCCCACCTCTACCCCCTCTTTCCACCCCTGCCCCCTCTGTGCACCCTGGCCCCTCTCTCCCCACCCCACCCCTGCTCCCTCTGTGCACCCTGGCCCCTCTCTTCCCACCCCACCCCTGCTCCATCCCATCCTCGTTCCATATCCCTCTCTCCTTCACCTTCATCTCTTCTCCTTCCTTCTCCCCTTCCCTTACTCCCCTTTCCCCACTCCCCTTTCCCCGCTCCCCTTCCCCCACTCCCCTTCCCCGCTCCCCTTCCCCCACTCCCCTTTCCCCGCTCCCCTTTCCCCGCTCCCCTTCCTCCACTCCCCTTCCCCGCTCCCCTTCCCCCACTCCCCTTCCCTTACTCCCCTTCCCCCGCTCCCCTTCCCCCGCTCCCCTTTCCCCCACTCCCCTTTCCCCGCTCCCCCTTCCCCGCTCCCCTTCCCCCGCTCCCCTTCCCCCACTCCCATTTCCCCGCTCCCCTTTCCCCCCTTCTTCTTGCCCACCGCCCAACCCCCCAGCGATTTGAGTTTCAACGCTCTGAAAGGGTCCATTCCTGCCAGCATTGGCCAGCTGTCGCGCCTACAGAGGCTGTGAGAGACAGGGAGGGGAAGGGCGGGTAGAAAGCGGTGTGGTGCAAAGGGGTGTGGGCACAAAATAGGGCGGTACAAAACAAAGACGTAAGGTATCTGACAGGGCCCGTTCCCACATGTATTGGCCAGTTGTCCCAGCCACAGAAGTTCCCTCCTCCTCTGACCTACAGGTCCCTCAGCTACAAGGGGTTCTCAACAGTCATTCCGTCCGCCGTCCATGCCGTACCGTGTTTCCAGACGTGCCAAGCATCTGAATTCCCTCCTCCTTCTCTGACCTACAGGTCCCTCAGCTACAATGGGCTCTACGGAGTCATTCCGCCGTCCATGTCTCGCTGTATTCTGAGGTGGCATCTCAAGCATCTGAATTCCCTCCTCCCTGTCTCTCTGACCTGCAGGTCCCTCAGCTACAATGGGCTCTCAGGAGTCATTCCCTCCTGCTGTTGGCGCGTTTCACTTACATTACAGCCACCCCAAAATCTCCTCCCTGTCTCTCTGACCTGCAGGTCCCTCAGCTACAATGGGCTCTCAGGAGTCATTTCCTCCTGCTGTTGGCGCGTTTCACTCACATTACAGCCACCCCAGAATCTCCTCCCTGTCTCTCTGACCTGCAGGTCCCTCAGCTACAATGGGCTCTCAGGAGTGGTTCCCCCGTCCATCTCTCGCCTCTCTAGGCTCCAGTTTTTGTATGTACGCTGCTGCTGGGCTGACACACACCTTCCTTCATGCTGCTGGGAAGGCACCATACATACGTACACATGCTGCCACATAGTTTCATAATTTGAGATGTCATCTCACTCATAGTTTCGAGTCATCTCAAAACAGACCATACTTGTTGTCCTGCCTGCCTGCCTTTTGAGGCGCCTCAAAAGTCATCTCAAAACAGACCATACTCGTTGTCCTGCCTGCCTGCCTGCCTGCCTGCCTGCTTGCCTGCCTGCCTGCCTGCCTGCCTGCCTGCCTGGTGTTTGCAGCCAGGTGCACGGAAACTCTGTTCAAGGGAAGATCCTCTCAGCGCTGGCATTTCTCACCAGATTATCTTTCATGTGAGTTGCTCCTAGTAGATTCTCAGCAGTTGTAAAAGATCAGCATGCATACAAGCTGTTCATTGTGTATAAACGTTTATGTGAATTTCTCCTAGTAGATTATTCGACTCGATGAACATATATACAATTACACATCAGACTAGATTGATATCATTGTCCCCTGCTCGTCTGCTACATATCTATCAGCCAGTGCCGTGTCTGCTCCCCTCCTTGTACTGTAGCAGTTGTTGATTACTGTCACACACATTAAAATATGGTATGGAGTGTATCCTCTGCAACGATTATCTGCTTATCTGCACTGCTCTTTCCACACTCTTGAAAGAACTGTCACACACTCTCCACTACACATTCTACAATGTGTGCCGCCCTCTCCTCCAGTGACATATCGCAAAACAGTTTTGGCGGAACCATCCCCCCGGAGCTTGGAAACCTGACCAGTTTGCAAAGAGTGTAAGTAAGCAGCAGCCAATCGCAGCTCATACCAGTGTGTGCGTTGTGTTTTTACTGAGAACAGCGTTTACCATTTGAGGCGCCTCAAAAGCAGTGTGTGCGTTGTGTTTTTACTGAGAACAGCGTTTACCATTTGAGGCGCCTCAAAAGCAGTGTGTGCCTTGTGTTTTTACTGAGAACAGCGTTTACCTATGAAGAGCAACAGTTACTTCCCACTCTGCCTGTCTGACTCTCCATGCTTCATTCACCTTATTCACAACACCTCCTCCTTCTCACCTTCTTCATGTTCTTTCGCTTCCCATCTTACCTCTCCCCATCTTACCTCTCCCCATCTTACCTCCCCCCAACTTACCTCTCCCTATCTTACCTCCCCCCAACTTACCTCTCCCTATCTTACCTCCCCCCAACTTACCTCTCCCTATCTTACCTCTCCCCATCTTACCTCTCCCTATCTTACCTCTCCCCATCTTACCTCTCCCCGTCGTACCTCCCCCCATCTTACCTCCCCCCAACTTACCTCTCCCTATCTTACCTCTCCCTATCTTACCTCTCCCCATCTTACCTCTCCCCATCTTACCTCTCCCCATCTTACCTCTCTCTATCTTTCCTCTCACCATCTTACCTCCCCCCATCTTACCTTCCCTATCTTACCTCTCCCTATCTTACCTCTCCCTATCTTACCTCTCCCTATCTTACCTCTCCCTATCTTACCTCTCCCTATCTTACCTCTCCCTATCTTACCTCTCCCCATCTTACCTCTCTCTATCTTTCCTCTCACCATCTTACCTCCCCCCATCTTACCTTCCCTATCTTACCTCTCCCCATCTTACCTCTCCCCATCTTACCCCCCCCCATCTTTCTCCTTTGAACCCTCCTCTGTCCCTCTCCTCCCAGTGCGCTTGCTCACAATCTCCTTACCGGCGCCCTCCCAACAACTCTCTCCTCCCTCGGAAGGCTCTCTCACCTGTATGCATACTCACACATGTGTGTGTGCTCACCTGTATGCATACTCACACATGTGTGTGTGCTCACCTGTATGCATACTCACACATGTGTGGATGTGCTAATATGCGACATGCTTTTGAGTCGACTCAAAAGCTCCTCCCTCGGAAGGCTCTCTCACCTGTATGCATGCGTGTGCTCACATCCCTGCCTGTTCACATTTGTTTGTGTGTTACACACACCCATGCATGTTCACATATGTGTGTGTGCTCACATGTATGCATGCTCACACATGTGTGGGTGTGCTAATATGCGACATGCATGCTTCGCTCACATGTGTGTATTGGCTATGGATTACATCCCATTTACATCCCAGTCGCATCCTATCCACATCACATCCACATTCCATCCACATTCCATCCACATTCCATTCACATCCCTTCACACTGACATGTCAACCCTTCACGTGTTTGCAGCGATTTCACCAACAACACATTGAAAGGACCCATCCCCACTTCCTTTGCCAACCTCACCAACCTGTACATGCTGTGAGTGAGTTTCCGTGCCTTCTTGTTTTAAGACGTCCGAAACTCGACCTCACAATTCTATATATGCTGCGAGTTAGCTTTAAAGCCTTCCCCACATACCTTCGAACGTCGCTGTTGACATTAAGTTTGATGCGCCTTAGAAAAACATGTTGTGAGTGGGCTTTAAAGCCTTCCCATATACCTGCCAATGTCATAGTCTATAAAGCGTAGGCCACTTGAGTTTTAAATTCATGTTCAATGTCAAACCAAAGAATCTCACACTTACATACGCACACACACTCGTATCAGGTGTATGATGAGTCGATTTTTTAGTCGACTAAAAAATTGACTCGTCAAATGCCAAAGAAGCTCACACTTAGATAATTTACATATGACACACACTCGTATCAGGTGTATGTACGTTGTGCATTCGTGCAAAACTAGCTTCATATGGTTGTTGCTGTATTGTATGTATCGATAGGTGCCTTAATCTATTTCAAATCTCTGGACCAATCTCATCAGTAACTGTATTTAGGGGTGAGCAAAATCACGAACGCCTGTTCGGTTCGCCTCGAACACGTTCGAAGCAAACCGAATAGGTTTTTTTTTTTGCCTTAAGTGTTCGGGGCGAACATGTTCGATGTTCGCCCGAACATGTTCGTGTTCGGGTCGCTGCTGCAATTTGCCCCGCGTCGAACACGAACGTGTTCGAGGTTCGCCCGAACACGCCTTCACAGGCGAACACCGAACACCCTTTTTGGCTAAAAGTGTTCGCCGAACCGAACACTGTTCGGTTCGGCGAACGGCTGTGTTCGTGCAGGGGCAAACACAAACACGTTCGTGTTCGCCCCTTGCTCACCCCTAACTGTATTGTACATGGGACTCTAAAAAAGCATGGTAGTTTATAAGCATTCTCATTATTGGTAGTATCCTTTGTACTGTCCGTTTCTTTTGCAGGTCTTTTCAGCAAAATCGATTCACAGGGGAGATTCCATATGAGCTGGGAAATCTTACCAAGCTCACACTCCTGTAAGCGCAACGTGTATGCATACATACAGTATGAACATCTTTCTGCATAATTTATTCACAGGGGAGATTCCATATGAGCTGGGAAATCTTACCAAGCTCACACTCCTGTAAGTAAGACCACATGCATGCCGCATACTGACATGCCTACATACATGGACACATGCACGCACGCACACTCACACACACACACAGGCATACACACACACACACACACACACACACACACACACACACACACACACACCTACCACCAACCTACCTACCTGCCAGACTCTTGGCTCTTGAATCTTAACTTGCAGCCTTGAGTCACAGCTGATTCAAATCAATCTGTACGCTTCACAAACTACTCGAGCACACGAGAAGGCTCAGGGGGGACTGCGACAATTTCTAAGGCGCCTCACAGGTCGTGCGCTTCACCCTAATTCCATCATTGACTCACTCTCACCCCTTCATTGATTTTACCCCCACCTTTGACTACAATGATCGTTCAAGCACTATGGCTCTTGTTAGGACTGAGCTCGAACTGATTGATTAAGAAAGAACGCGCTCCAACCGAATCTCCAATGATGAGTTGGCAGATTGGGTTCATTACAGGGAGAATCCCAACCAGATAAGGTTGGGATGACAGACCTGCACCCAACCTACAAATAACCTACGCAATATAAAGCATAGTACAAAGTGTTGATGACCTAATTTTTAACAGCTCTGACTCTTAAAAACCTTTGATTTGCCCTTGCCTTGTCCCGTCACCAATCCGCCGTATGATCCCGCCAGCCATGAATGCGCCCTCATCCTTATTGATCTACTCTACCCCCCATGCAGAAGCTTCGACTACAATGATCTCTCGGGCACTGTGCCTCCAACTCGTGGGAACCTCTGCTGGCCCTTGTCCCATCATGAATCCGCCTTCATCCGTTCATTCGTCTACCCTTCATCCCTTCATTGATCTACTCTACCCCCCCCATGCAGAAGCTTCGACTACAATGATCTCTCGGGCACTGTGCCTCCAACGCTTGGCAGCCTCGTCCGTCTAACTAGCCTGTAAGCCGCAAGGAGAGGGGTGGGGGTAGGGTGGAGGGGAGGGAATGGGAAGGAAGTTCGAATCACCGCAGAAGTCACTCTCGCAGGCACTGTGCCTCCAACTTCTGGGAAGTGTTTTGAGATGTCTCAAAACACTTCTTCATACTCAGGCACTCTGCCTCTAACTTCTGGGAAGTGTTTTGAGACGTCTCAAAACACTTCTTCATACTCAGGCACTGTGCCTCCAACTTCTGGGAAGTGTTTTGAGACGTCTCAAAACACTTCTTCATACTCAGGCACTGTGCCTCCAACTTCTGGGAACCTCGTCCATCAGTCTAGCCTGTAAGCTGCTAGGAGAGGGGTGGGGTGGGGGGTAGGGTACCTCAAAATCACCTGGATTTGAGAAGCACCTGAAAAGTGTTTCTTTCAGTCATTGCACCTCCAACTCCTTAAAGACCTCGTCCATCTGACTAACTAGCTGTAAGCCGCAAGGAGAGGGGGAATGGGGAGAATGGAGTTCTGCAGCTTGGTTCAAAGAATGGAGGGGAGGGAATGGAGGGTCTGCAGAACTCCATTTTCCCTGAGAGGGGAGGGAAAATGGAGTTGTGCAGCTTGGTTCAAAGATCAGCCTATCCCTGATTCCCTTTCTTGCCCTCACTGCAGTGGCCGAGCCGAGCAGGAGTCCTGCATTGTCAAGCAGAGCGCCTTATGAGGCGCCTCAAAAGCAGTCCTGCATTGTCAAGCAGAGCGCCTTTTGAGGCGCCTCAAAAGCAGTCCTGCATTGTCTAGCAGAGCGCCTTTTGAGGCACCTCAAAAGCAGTCCTGCATTGTCTATCAGAGCGCCTCTTTCTTTCCCTCCACTCGCCCTCCGTTCTCCGTCCCTCCCTCACTGCGGTGAGGTGCTAAAGCAGAGCGGTGCTGTTTGTTCCACTCCACAGCAGCCGGACACTCCTACTGCCTGCATCCCCATCCCTGACCCCCTCCCTCCCCCCCTCCCTTCCTCACTCCCTCCCCCCCTCCCTTCCCCACTCCCTTCCCCCCTTCCCCCCCCCCACTCCCTCTCCCACTCCCTCCCCCACTCCCTCTCCCACTCCCTCCCCCACTCCCTCCCCCACCCAGTGAGGTGCTGAAGAAGAGTGGGGCCGAATGCCCCACAGGAGCTGGACAGTCCTGCGTGGTCAAGCAGAGCCTCTCCTCCCAGTTCTGCTACCAGTGCAGCGAATTCTGCCCCTCCTGCATCCCCATCGCTGAGCCCACCCCTCCCTCTCCTCCTCCTCCTCCTCCTCCTCACTCCTCCGGCCTGTCTGTGGGAGCTATCGTTGGGATTTCTCTGGGGGGTGTCCTAGCTGCTGCTCTCCTCGCTGTGGGCGCGTGGCTTCTTTACAAACGCAAGTCCATGGCAGGTTGGTGCTATTCTTACTCCCTCGCCTCCTCCCTCGCCTCCTCCTTCCTCACCTCCTCCTCCCTCACCTCCTCCTCCCTCGCCTCCTCCTCCTCCCTCCTCTGCCGTGTCTGTGGGAGCTATCGCTGGGATTGCTCGGGGAGGTGTCCTGGCTGCTGCTCTCCTTGTTGTTGGCGTTTTCTTTCTCTGCAAACGAAAGTCCAAAGAAGGTGAAGTGGTAGGCTGTGGTGCGGTGCGGTGTGGTGAGTTGTCGCAGGGATGAGCAGCGGTTTCTCAGCATGCTCTCATTTTTGTCAGCGGCTTGCCAGGAATTTGACCTGCTGGTGATTCGGTAGTTTGGTAGATCTTAGGATGATATTTTTTTCTCAGCATGATAATTAGCCCATGCTTCGGTTTCGGCTCATTGAAAATGCCTGACTCCCCTCCCCCGCGCTCATTGCCCACTCCCACCCAGCACGTGAGTTGTCAGTTGGTCCCAAACTAAGCGATGGAGCATCGTAGGGGCGTTGCCTAAACAACTGCTGAAATCTCCTCTCCCTACCCCATCCCCCTCCCCATGCCCACTCCCAGCACGTGAGTTGTCAGTTGGTCCCAAACCAAGCGATGGAGCATCCAGAGGGGGAGGGGCGTCTGTTCCAACCCAGTCGCTCGTGTGCCAGCGATAATCCTTAGACGTGGTTGCCAAGGCAACAACTGATCATTGGACATGGGCGCATTGAAGGGACAGTGGTGGAGACACGTTGAAGGGATTTAATTGAAACACGCCTTAGAGAAGTGATGACTCCCCTCCCCCTCCCCCTCCCCCACGCCCATTGCCCACTCTCACCCATCCAGCACGTGAGTCGTCAAGTGGGCCCAAACCAAGCGATGGAGCATCGAGGGGGGGAGGGGCATCGGTACCAACCCAGTCCCTCATGTGTCAGCGATGCCCTTTAGCTGTGGTTGCCACAGCGACTGATAACTGAGCAGAGGCGTTTTGAAGGGACAGTGGAGGCACATAGAAGAGGACTTCTGAGCCGCTATAAGAATAGGCCTGATTCTCACCCCCCCCCCCCCCCCCCCTTCCCGCCCGCTCTTCCCCTCCATGCCCACCACCAGCACGTGAATCGTCAAGTGGTGCCAAACCAAGCGATGGAGCATCAAAAGAGGCAGGGGCATCGGTACCAACGCAGTCCCTCATGTGCCAACGATACCCCTTAGACGTGGTTGCCAAGGCGACGGATAACTGGGCAGAGGCGAATCATATTGGGTCGGGAGCTTATGGGGAGGTGTATCGGGGGGTGTGCCCCGATGATCCCTCGGTGGTGTGGGCTGTGAAGCGCGCCAAGATACTCACAAATGACTTCAAGCGAGAGGTGTGTGTGTGCGGTGTGCTGTGCTGTGCTGTGCTGTGCTGTGCTGCGCTGCGCTGTGCTGTGCTGCGCTGCGCTGTGCTGTGCTGTGCTGTGCTGTGCTGTGCTGTGCTGTGCTGTGCTGTGCTGTGCTGTGCTGTGCTGTGCTGTGCTGTGCTGTGCTGTGCTGTGCTGTGCTGTGCTGTGCTGTGCTGTGCTGTGCTGTGCTGTGCTGTGAAGTGCGCCAAGATACTCTCCAATTACTTCAAACGAGAGGTGTGTGTGCATGAGGGAGGCAACGGCAGAAGAGGAGTTGATTGAACACGTGTGATCCTTATCTAAAGAGGCGCCGAATCCATGCTCCTGCCTTTGATCTTTTTTATTCTGCTCATGCAGGTGGAGGAGATGGCATTAAAGAGCCATTGGCTCAACTGTTTTATTTTTCTTCTTTTCGTCATTTCCGTTCCCCCTGCAGGTGGAGGAGATGGCATCAAAGAGCCATCCGCACTTGGTGCGGCTGCTGGGGTACTGTGTGGACATGGATACAACCACGGAGCACTACGAACAAATCGTCATTTATGAGTTCTGCACCAACGGAGACCTCGAGAAGTATCTGAGCGGAGGTGAGAGAAGTATATGAGTTGAGTTGTGGCTGCTGGGGTACTGTGTGGACATGGATATAAGCACGGAGCACTACGAGCAGATCGTCATTTACGAGTTCTGCACCAATGGGGACCTCGAGAAGTATCTAAGTGGAGGTGAGTGGATTATCTTAAGTTTTGCTCCTTTCTGTCATATTCAATGTGCACATTTTTAGAGAGTCCCACCTCGATAAAGATGGCAACTGTAAGCATTTGAGTTGATTTTGTTTATTTGAATAATGAAGCTCAAGTACATTAATGATGGATCATAAACAATGAAATATCATACCAAAAAAAAAAAAAAAAAACTATGAGATCGACTAAAGAAAAACAGTGGTGGGCTACATTCGTTTGTGTGATTATATGTATGCAAATATGATCACACGTGACAAAAAGCAAAACAAAACCCCAGTGTGATATATGTTTCCTATTATGTTTTTGTTTACAGTCGATCTTTAATGTACTTTTAGGCTTTCAGTTCATTACCCATGATCCATTTGAACTCAAGTACTTACGGGTACAAACTTATGAAACATCTCTCCAAGCAAGGTTTTCTCAATCTGCAACGTCCGCAACGCGTGTTTTCAAATGCCTCTGTTGTGTTTTTGTTACAAATCACTTCAACTTGTCATCTCCCCATCAGGCTCCAAAAAGGGCGAGTTGACGCTGCAGCAGCGCATGGATGTGCTGGTGGGGGTGGCGCGGGGGTTGGAGTACCTCCACCAGTTTGACATCGTGCATCGAGACATCAAGCCCGCCAACGTGCTGCTCGACGCTAACATGCAGGTCAGAAGAATGGGGGATTTCATGGTTGAGTGCGGTGCAGTGCGTGAGGGAGGGCTCATGCTGCTTGATGCCCGCATGCAGGTGCGAAAAAATCCATGCCTAGCTTACTGGCTGTTGCTTGAAGTAGAATTTGGGAGACGTCTCAAAACGCCCCTATGCGGGTCCCATTCCTATGCCTCAAAATTCACCTCAAAAGTCACCCCATGCGGGTACCATTCCTATGCCTAGCTTACAAGCTGTTGCTGGAAAAGGACAACCTTAACGATTGTTCTGCAATGGTGTCACTTGTTCTGTACCTAGCGCCTCAATATGTGTCTCACCACTGGCGCGTGTAATGAGGTGACTTTTGAGTCGACTCAAAACACGATTGTGCTGCAGTGGTGTCGCTTGTTCCGTATCTAGCGCCTCAACTTTTGTCTCACCACTGGCGCGCCCACGCCAAGAATAGAGTCATAAGGGTCGCCTTTTCCGGCCCCTAGCCTAGATCACATCACACGCCGAGGCGCTTGTGAAACAATTCTTCTTATTATGATGCCTAGTTTTGAGGCGCCTCAAAATGGGTCGCCTTTTCCGGCCCCTAGTCTAGAGCATACGAAGAGGCGCTTGTGAAACAGTTCTGTTTATTATGATGCCTAGAATTCTGTAGTTGAGTAGCTTCAAGTGCCGCTCGTGAGACCAATCGGGGCAAGCAGCGTATTCTTGCTGCGAAGATCCGCTAAGATAAGATTCAGTCCTTGCTCTTGACCCACCCCTCTCCCTCCTTCCAAACCCCACAGCCAAAGGTGTCAGATTTCGGGCTGGTGCGCATGACAGAAGGCACCACAGTGAATCCCACCCGAGTGGTCGGCACTCCGGGCTATGTGGACCCCGCTTACTCGCGCACCAGCAAGGTTACCCCTATGGCCGACGTTTATAGGTGGGTCGGATTAATTAAAGGCCTTTCTTGTGGCCGACTTGCACAGGTGAGTGTTATCAAGGAATCATTTTCAAACTGTCATGTAGCTTGCTTGAATCCTCCTTATTAGCATCATCAATGGCTTTGTACAAGCGCCTCCAAATGACATGCTCTTTTCTTCCTTGTTGCCTAAGGTTGGATGGATTTTTTTCGCACAATGTACTAGTGCCACTTTCTTGTTCCGTTTTCTTGTTTTTCTTTTTTCTTTGTCCAATCTATCCCCCTGTTTCAACAGCTTCGGCGTCATGATGCTTGAGATCCCGCTGACCTAGCCTATCATGATCTGGGTCGACCTGGACCACACCCGAGTACCAATGCGTTGATCCCATCCCCTCTTTCCAACAGCTTCGGTGTGATGATGTTTGAGATCATGCTGACCAAGCCTGTCATGATCTGGGTCGACCTGGACCACACCCGAATACCAATGTGTTGATCTCATCCCCTCTTTCCAACAGCTTCGGCGTCATGATGCTTGAGATCCCGCTGACCCAGCCTGTCATGATCTGGGTCGACCTGGACCACACCCGAGTACCAATGTGTTGATCCCATCCCCTCTTTCCAACAGCTTCGGTGTGATGATGCTTGAGATCATGCTGACCAAGCCTGTCATGATCTGGGTCGACCTGGACCACACCCGAGTACCAATGTGTTGATCTCATCCCCTCTTTCCAACAGCTTCGGTGTGATGATGCTTGAGATCCCGCTGACCCAGCCTGTCATGATCTGGGTCGACCTGAACCACACCCGAGTACCAATGTGTTGATCCCATCCCCTCTTTCCAACAGCTTCGGTGTGATGATGTTTGAGATCATGCTGACCAAGCCTGTCATGATCTGGGTCGACCTGGACCACACCCGAGTACCAATGTGTTGATCTCATCCCCTCTTTCCAACAGCTTCGGCGTCATGATGCTTGAGATCCCGCTGACCCAGCCTGTCATGATCTGGGTCGACCTGGACCACACCCGAGTACCAATGTGTTGATCCCATCCCCTCTTTCCAACAGCTTCGGTGTGATGATGCTTGAGATCATGCTGACCCAGCCTGTCATGATCTGAGTCGACCTGGACCACACCCGAGTACCAATGTGTTGATCTCATCCCCTCTTTCCAACAGCTTCGGCGTCATGATGCTTGAGATCCCGCTGGCCTAGCCTATCATGATCTGGGTCGACCTGGACCACACCCGAGTACCAATGTGTTGATCCCATCCCCTCTTTCCAACAGCTTCGGCGTCATGATGCTTGAGATCCCGCTGACCTAGCCTATCATGATCTGGGTCGACCTGGACCACACCCGAGTACCAATGTGTTGATCCCATCCCCTCTTTCCAACAGCTTCGGTGTGATGATGCTTGAGATCATGCTGACCAAGCCTGTCATGATCTGGGTCGACCTGGACCACACCCGAGTACCAATGTGTTGATCTCATCCCCTCTTTCCAACAGCTTCGGTGTGATGATGCTTGAGATCCCGCTGACCCAGCCTGTCATGATCTGGGTCGACCTGAACCACACCCGAGTACCAATGTGTTGATCCCATCCCCTCTTTCCAACAGCTTCGGTGTGATGATGTTTGAGATCATGCTGACCAAGCCTGTCATGATCTGGGTCGACCTGGACCACACCCGAGTACCAATGTGTTGATCTCATCCCCTCTTTCCAACAGCTTCGGCGTCATGATGCTTGAGATCCCGCTGACCCAGCCTGTCATGATCTGGGTCGACCTGGACCACACCCGAGTACCAATGTGTTGATCCCATCCCCTCTTTCCAACAGCTTCGGTGTGATGATGCTTGAGATCATGCTGACCCAGCCTGTCATGATCTGAGTCGACCTGGACCACACCCGAGTACCAATGTGTTGATCTCATCCCCTCTTTCCAACAGCTTCGGCGTCATGATGCTTGAGATCCCGCTGGCCTAGCCTATCATGATCTGGGTCGACCTGGACCAC